ATTCTTTTAAATAAAATCGCTTTCCGTCATTCTTCCATTTTCTATTAATTAATTTTTTTTTTGTTGTTGTTGTTGTTGTTGCTAAAATTAGGATTTACATGCTAGTTAGTTAGCACTTAAATCTTATGCATGTGTAAATATAAAAGTAGAATAGCATTTTTTCATCACTTCCTCAAACTTTTAAATTTAGTCCAATCGCATTTGCAATTATTCGAAAATAAATTAAAGAAAAGGGCAAAAGTGGTTGGAAAGATAAAAGTATGAGGTACACATTACACAGAAAAAAATTAGGAGTGAGTGATATTATTGTTTATCACTTTTTAATCTCTCATTAAGCAGGAAGCATTTAAGGCTGTCTGTTTAAATACTGTAAAATGGCTTAATTCTTAAATACTCGAAGGAGACTCACGAATCCTGAAACTGTTTCAATGTGCATTTTCTGTAAATTCAGAAATTTCATATTCATGATATATTCGCTTCAACACTTCAGATGCATAAAAAATATAGTCGGTTTAATTATAGTTAAATTTCCCAAAATTGCTATTGTTTTTGAACTGAATGATATTTTTCAGTTAATCAAGACACAACATATCTCATGCGATAACTGGGAAAAAAAAAAAAAAAAAAAAAAAAAAAAAAAAAACTTCTTTGAAAAATCCATAGGATAAATGTAGGAAATGTAGGATTTTTCCTAGTGTGGTTGATATTTAAGGCAATCTATCAAAGATCTCTCTATTTTAATAATTGAAATTTGTGCTTAAATTATGGCAAAAGATCGGAATGAAAACTAACAGTAATAAAATAAAGACATTATCATTTGATTTGTAATTTTACTGTCTTGTGAGTTTGCATTTCCATATTACGTTTGATAGTCTGTTTCCAAAATTTTCGTTTCTTTGTGCGTTTGGTTTACTTAATTATGGCAAAGCACACTAGAGCTATATGCCTAAGGGGAGGGTTGCCTTCGTGGAGGACTTTCTAAGGGAAATTGGCTCGTATACACGTTACATATCGTTCTTTGTGGGATCAAACTTTTGAACATTGCTAGAGGGTTCTAACTGAAGAACGTTCTACGCTACTAAGTTCTATTTAGTGAAGCTTACATTTATTTGGACTATATTGTGAGTAAGATAAGAGGCTATACTTAAGCGTGAGAATGTTTGTGCTTTAAAAGGGTAATTCCGGTACAATGACGTAGAAACAACATAAAGTAGCTAGATAATTTTAGAAAAATTTCTGCATAGTTTTAAAACTAGATCTTCCAATATTCCTAACAGTTGATTTTGCGACAACCGTTCTCTTCCATGATTTAAAATTTTGCAGAAATTTCCTTCTCTGATGCAGTTTATGTCCTTTCTCTTTCAAGCGCTATCTATACATGAAGCTTCATGACATTATTTAGCTTGGTGATTTTTCTCAATGAGGTTTCACATAATGTGTTTCATGGCTTTCCATGAGTTTGAATGCACCCTGTAATGGCGGGGCAACTAAGTTCATTTAACCGTAGCAGTTTTTTTGGGGGGGGCGGGGTTAGTTTTCACAGGAACAGGCTGCTTCGATAATTCTTTTTCAAACTGTTTTTCTCATTTAAGCTTCATTGTAATCTAATTCCCCGTTTGATCAAACTTTCTAGGTAACGTAAGAGAAAGAAAAACTAGGAAAAAAAAAAGATTGAGAAGTAGAAATTATAAATGGAGGAGATATTTCATTCCTGTTTGTCTGGCATAAGAATGGAACTCTTTAATGCGTGTTTCCTCATATTTAAACTAAGTTTCATACCAGAAAATAAGCAGCTTCAACTGTGTGACTTAAAAACGTGAATCTCATAATGAGGGAATATTTTCTTGCATAGCAATTAAACTTTTCAAATCTCATCAGTGATTAGCTAAGTTACAGAGACCGTTAGACGTATTGATGAAGTTCAGCTGTTGTCTTCACCGGGATTCGAGATGTGGATTTTCCGACTGCTAGTTGTTACTTGCACCACATAACTGGACGGGGGGGGGGGGGAATGCGAAAATTCCTCACAAGGCATAATTTTATTTATTTTTTCCAAAAATCAAACTCAGTTTTTGGTTTTGAAGGTAAATGAATGGGACGAATATACATATAATTTACAGATAGTTTTAAGGAGAATATGAATATACAGATAGTTTTAAGGAGGTAATCAGATTTTTATTTCGTTTATTTTTTCATTTTTAAAGGGGGTTGTTTTCTCCTTTTTATGTTTTAAAGTAGATCTTTATTATAATCTTTTAAAGGAGGATTATACTTTAAATGAAATCTTTTATTAAAATGTATCACGGCTTGGTGTTGAGTGTATTACCGAAGTCAAGTGAATGTCAGACAGAAAAGTATCTTTGTAGATATATGAATTAATAAAAGGGACTCTAACAGATTTATGGATGAATGATAACGTCTATCTCCGGAAGAAGTTGGAATGACAAGCACGGACGCAATTGCTCATAGGTTCCAACCATGATTACACTTAACGATCTTTAGAAGAGGAATTCCTTGGCGATGAGATATAGTCTTTTTCTCTTGCCCTTGTGTCTCCCTAAAGAAAATGCTGTATCAAAAATGCTTTTCGTTAGCTTGTTCTAGCTCAGCTCCTTTTCCCCTCTTCGAAGATATTTATTTGTAAATCAGTAAATAAACAACAACAACAACAAATACACCGTAAAACAGATTGATACACCCTTGCAGCAGAAGGTTACGTCGAAAGCCAAAATGGAATGCCATATCTGTAGAAACTGTTACTTCAAGTACCGATTTAAAGTCAGCTGTACAAATTATCGAGTTATAGAAACCAAGTTATCGATACTAAGTATCAAACTATTAGTTAGTTATGGATTTAAAACACCGAAGATTCCGGAAAAAAAACTGCTTGCGTAAATACGATATTATATCTTCGTGTCTTTGATTTAATTCAAATAAAAACGTAATGGTTTTGATCTCACTTTTGATAAAACTCTTTTCTTTCGTTTTTATTATTGAATATATTCTGGACCGGAAGGGACAGAAAACAGAAGTTTCCTTTTATGCATAAATTTTTCTCATATTTTTTACCTTTTGCTCGCTGATGTATTCCTTTATATTTCTAAATAGTTGGCATTCATAAAATTATCGACATTTGACCAGAAAGATTTTTCTAGCATTGCGAAGGTCTTTCGACTTACATAACATAAAAATGAATAAAAAATTTTGGTAATAGTTCTTATTATTTTTCCTGGCTCATTTTTGCTGTTCTGAAAACTTTATTAAAAGGTTAGTTTCGTTAAGCTACATACTACTTATGACCGATACGTTTCAAGATAGTAATCTACTTCAATTGTAATGCGTAGTTTCTAATATCTAAGAAGCTTTAGAATAAATATGCCTGCTAGCTACGGTTTTAATTACCATTTAACTTACAGGTAAATTACTGGTGATATGATCAAATTATTATGCCGATTATCATAATGGTTTTGAACCACTTTGATACTAAATTTTTATCAAATAATCTGCAAAAATAGTTTTGTTACAGTAAAACTTTCAGATGGAATTAGCTTTTATTTACGTTTAATAATGCATTTTTCTTTGTCTACATTTTTTTCGTTATTAAGATGTAAGCTGGTACAAAATTATTTATCGCATACTGATATAAAGCTTCCGAACCCTTATAGTGTATAAGAATTAATTTTAGGAAGCTTTACTACGAGTAAATTTTAGCTTATTTAATTAACTTAATTTTACTAAAATTTAAAATTCCTATTTTTTTATTACTCATCTATTTATAGTTCCAGTCGTCTAACTTTCCACTAATTTAAATAAACTATACCTCAGCGATATGTATATCAAGGCGATCACTAATTTTAACATTAATAAAAAGCTTCCATGCTTCGATTATGCTCATCTGAAACACTTTATCTCACCCTCCCCATTAAGGACACACAAGTGTTTTTTCAATTCAAATCTTTCGTTCACTACAAAAAATATCCATTCACTTAATATAATATAAAGTTTCAGATATAACAAATTTTTAGCCAGAAAATTTATAATTTTCAAAACCTAATTACATAAATTAAATGAAAGCGTACTGTAGATTCTAAAAGCAGTTAGAAACTAAGTTCTTAATCGTCGAATAAGTAATAGCGTTTGGACTAGTCCATTCCTTTTAGTTTGTAGTACAAGATAGCTTCAATAATTTCCCGGTATTGTTTATCTTAATATCCTCATAATGGATTTTTTATTGTTTTCTATTTATAACAGTGCAGAAGGAGGCTTCAACAAGTTCCTGAGACTGATTTCATTATATCATAAATGAATATTTTGTTATTAATATCGATTTATAATACAAGATATTTCCAACAATTTTCTGGAGCTGTTTATATTTGGGGGGGGGTACAGATGTTAATAGTAAAGCGATTTATACTATACTCCTTAGACATAACCAATATCGGCGGTTATTCATTTATTCCAATGTTTATATGTTATGATGAAATTATTTTGAAATGAATTCTTTATTATTTCTTCAAGATGATTCATCTCAGTAAAGAAGACAGAATCCCTAAACTGTTATAACTTCGCCTTAGATTTCAAAGACGAAATTGTTAAGAATTGGCTGGAAATAAAGTCAGCGGGAAAACAGTGGGAGCTTTTATTGTTGTCACGTTATACTTTACTAGATACAACACATCGATTTTAGCTAAAAAGCCAACTGTTACTTGAATTCCATTTCGAATTCCCAAAACGCTACTTTCATATCATAAGGGAAAGAAAATACTGCTGTTATTACTATTAGAAAGAGAGTAGGAGTATTCATTCCTTACTACTGACGTCTTTAAATTCTGGTAATTGAATTTTCTGTCTGTTCTCGCAATTTCAAGAGAAAGGCGATAATTTCGGTAATGTTTCGAAACAACATGTCGGACTAAAATGCAGTTGCAAGCTCTTAGAAAAATCATCTTTCTTTAGCTTCACAAAATAAAGAATTACTTAAATTTCACTTTTTGTTTCAGATTTTGTTAAACACTGGAGCACTGGAAGCCTAAACAACAGGAGCTGTGGTTATTACCAGTGATCACCTGCAAGGAATTCAGAGATAACTTGTAAAGAAATGTCGCTCCTCCGAAGGTTAATTTAGATTCAAAATTAATTATTCATACTATTTTAACAAAATGAAAAGATAAAAGTAAAAAGAAGAAAGGTAGGAAAAGGGATTGAGATTACAAAATATGTAAGCTTTTTTCATCCTTTGTTTTCTTTATATTCCAGCATGATGCTTTTTAACTGACTTTTTACTATAAAGAATAATAACAATTACCTAATTTGTTTATGTGTATGTTTTTCTATATAATGAAGTTATTAGAGATCTTAAGCTTCATTTCGGATAACATACATTTTTGTAATTTATTCTTAGTGGTACTTATAAAATTCTGATAGTAATAAGCCTTCTTTGAATCTGGGATATAGTATTTTTCAAGTTCGTGTGAGATATACATTCATGTATCATTTCTCCATATAAATTTCTGACACTGAAAATGTTTTTACATTTATAAAAGTTATTTTTACGTTAAGTGATGAATTCATATTTATTTATTTTTTGTTTTTATTTTTATGGATAATATGTCAGTTTAGGTGCTACGTCAATTGTGCAATCATAAAAAAGAAATTACAGAAGTTTAAGAAAATAGTCACAAAAGTACAGGACATTAATAGCATAGTGTTTAACATTTTATATCAATAAAGCAACTGTATTTGCCTTTTTTATCGCTGCTATATTGCTATGCAAATTCATTATAAGTAATTTTTGAAATTATTCTGCATTTTTTGAGTTACAAAATCTTCATTATTTACTATAGAAACGTATGGATAACGTTATCATCTGAGCAAATGGAAATTATGTAAAAATATAAATATGCAATTTTTGCGTACCATGTAAAATGTTTTTATCTTTTACATGACATTTTCATTCTCATTAGAATTCATTCCACTTCGGTTTTGGGAGCAAAATCTGAAGCATATTACTGTTCCTAATGACGAATTGGCTTCATTCTCGTTTCATCGATTTGACCATTAGTACCGGTTCGGCATATTTCAAGTTCCTGTATTTGCAAATTTCTATTTCTCACTCCCAGATGTTTTATTGTATCGTTTAAAATGTACTCTGCTTGTAATAAATATAGCTTTATTGAGTAGATAAAAGTTATTGTTTCTTTACATAGTGCATTGTTTGCACATATTATGCTACTATGTAACAAGCCATTTTCGTTTCATATAGATGAGAAGAAAATATAGTTCTTAAACTGAGAAACACATTTTCTTATTTTCACATAAAGCATTTCTATCTAGTTATGGATAGTTTCCGAATATAGGTATATACTGTCATTTGTAAGTAATCATTTCAAAGAACACTTCTGTGATAAAAACATATTTTGAAATTATAATATTTCGGTAAGAGTATTAAAAAATAGCACAAAATAAACTATGTAAATGTCTTGTTGTTCTAGTCCAGAAACTTAATGTTAAAACGTTCTTGCTTTATGTTCTTGGTAAAAAATTTATTAATGCCGCAAAGCTGTAACAGAATGAGAAATAACCATTAAGCAAGCAATGATATAAAACATTGTCACTCTCATGTTAAGTGTATTAACTATTATATTAAGTGTATAACATTAAGGCTCTGAGTTCATTACATTCAAAACAATTTTTCTCATTGTTAATTGAAACATATACAGCTTTAAAAATTTGTAGGAAGTCCGTCAGCTGACCTCTTTCAGCTTTCATATGTAATGCTTAAGCTGTGCAAAAATATCTCTTTTCACACATTTTATTAAAGCAATTGCGTTGCTGATAGGTTATAGAGACATTAAGATTTTTGATACTGAGAGACGTGAAAATGAGCAGTGCCGGGACTCGAACCTCGGACCTCTCGAATACGCGCCGAGTGTGCTGGCCTTAACACCAGAAAGGCATGCTAAGAAGACGGGAGAAATACCTTATATACCCCCTTTTAAAGGACAGCTGAGGATTAGGGGACCCAATCGCCAAATCCTGGTGGTAGAGAATCATAATCCACCACGTTTTTTAGTTCGGGCGCCACTGTAGAGACATAAGGTTTTTTTTTTTTTTTTTTTTTTTTTTTTTTTTTTTTTTTTTTTTATGCAGGAGAGATGCAAAATGAGCAATGCCCACGCCGGGACTCGAACCTCGCACCTCTCGAATGCACACCTAGTGTGCTGGCCATTACACCACGAAAGCATACTAAGAAGGGAGAAATACCTTATAAGGTTTCTGGTAAACTTTAAACGTTTAAAATTGATAAAGACCGCAACAAATTCTGAAATGCTTTATAAAAGTTTATTAGTTTCTGTTTAAGAGGAATTTTGACTGGACAGTTAATATAAATATTTTAACAACAGTATCGAATTCTTGATTCATTGGTAATATAAAATAGTGGGAAACTCCTGACAGACTTGGAGAGAATTATCGCTGGATTTGAAGTTAACGAGAGATTCTTGGGAAGATTTTAAAACAAACCTTTTTATTAAATCAGAACTTGAACATATACGCAGAACTCGTGTTTACAAATCAGAAACCGCTTGTGGCGATGCAACTTAAAGTAACAGTCCGTTTCGAATTTAAAACTAAGTCTAGCAGCCAAAATTGATTTAACGCGAAGTTGGCTCAAAACTTCTCACGTCACAGTTTAAATGTTGACAGCTATGACGCAAAGCCGAAGAATTGTAATCTATCACAGGTAGCGAAACCTAGTAAGTGGCTTTGAGAGGTAGAAAAACCGACCTGTCTTAAAATCCGAAAAATTCACCTTAAATACTCTCAAATCTGAATTGTATTCTGGTAGGGAAATGGTAAGGAGAATTGGCAGCAAAGTTCTAAATCACAATAACAGATAAGATTAACATAATGGAACTTCACAATAGATTATTGCAAAAATTGACTAAAAAAAGGCTATATGCAGACAGAAGTGAGCAAAATGTCATGAACTTTTTGCATACGCAAGACTGTTGATTTGACCAGTTTAACAGGAAGAAAAAGAAATTTGTCAAATCTCTGATTGCACTAATTAAAAGACAACTAGCCGTGCTTAAACTATTTCATTTAAAAATTTTCATGTCATACTGTTGGATGTCTTTCAAAAATATCTTTTTAACTAGCAATCGAATTCAAGGTCGAAACCAGAGACTTGTAACTAGTGCTTCCAACTAAAGAAGAATTTTTGAAGTGATAGACCTCATTGACATTGTGTATGACTCAGATACATCCTACTCTAAATCGCAAGAAAATGTAAGGGTAAGTATAATCAAGTTGGAGGAAACCTGGACCAAACTCTTTCCCAAGTGCCGAATAGCTCTTAAGGAAACTAGTCAAATTACTCTCAATAAATTTACCTCCTTTCCGCTCTTCATATTTTTCTTAATTAATTATATGTATCTAATTTAAAATTTTTTTTATTTATTAAATTGTTTCATTATTTATTAATTTAGTATTTTATATTTTAATTGATTTAGGAACTATTTATTTAGCTTATTTATCCCAAATTACTGTCAGTTGAATGTTAAAAGGTTCGTCAAAGTATCAAAATCAAGTTGCCTTATTATATGTTTTCTTTCATGATCTTGAAAGTGCTTTTTGACTAGTACTGCTGACCTTTTGGGCGCGACTCGATCAAAAGATTAGGAGGTGAGAATAAAGAATGGCAACCTTCACAGTGAATAAAATAATGAAAAATAAGGAGCGGTCAGTGGAGTTAAGAGCACAGGTGACGAGAACAAAGTAACAAAATAGGTTTGAAAGATTGGGAGTTTCTGTGTTCAACTGCTCGAAGGGCTGGAGAATGTTTACTAATTAAATTTTAAATTAAAGGGAGTGTAAGAAAGAGTTATCATTGCATTATAATTTGGATGTCCGGCTGCGGAGAGATATTCGGTTTCAGGACCTTTGATGATGGCAGTTTCATTGGACTGTACCTTGAAATACTGAATTAAAAATATATGTACGAAATATCGTAAAATGCGAATTAGGTGTCTCTGAGTCCAGCAAGTTAATAAATAATATCTGCTTTGAAAAGGAAATCGCAGTTAAAATCTCAAAAAAAAAAAAAAAAAAAAAAAAATCAAAGAATCAAAGAAATTTCAAATCAGTCAAAAAAATCTCAGAAGAAAATTAGCATTTGATTTGCTATTCCAATTTTATTTCCAATTTTATTTGCTTGCTGAAGTAGTTTTGTCACTCATCTGGTAAGTGCCCAACTCTATTACTTTTCGTTTCAAGTAAATGTAGAACTTATTATTTCCTGATTAGATAAATTCAAACTACTCGGTGTCAAATTTTAAGATATTGCTCACTGGTAGGCGATGTATTCATGAAATCTTTCTGTATATTTTTTCGAATACAGCCACAACTAAACAATTTTTAACAACAATTTTAACTAGCGAAAACTAACTAAGAAATGATTTTACCAAAAGTTTCATTTGCTCCAGATGAAAAAGGACTTATGGTAGCTTCTTTGTATTTGAAAGAATTTTATTTAAAAATCTATGCCAATTTAAGTGTTTTCCCTCCCTTTCCTTCTTAATTTTATATTGTGAGTGATGACGCTATAAATTTAATTATTTTCTTGTCAGTTTAGCTTGGTACATCATTGTAGGAAAATGCAACATATTTATTTAATTATTATATATTTTCAAATTATGCATAGTTTAGAGAATTTTAAGTAAGAATAACAAAATGATGTAAAGAATAATTACTTCAAGAACATTATTTAAGTTGGATGATTCGGCTCTCTAACAGTAAAAGCAAAAGGTTGGAAACTTTGGAGGATGAAAAATACTAATTACAGTATAAAACATCATTGTCCTACGAATTAAAAGAACGGCTTGAGAATATAATGCACGTAGGCGATAGCAGAAGCCTTCTATAGATTTCTCTGACAAACAAAATTAGCATTAAATATGTTATTTCTTAAGAACGAAATTTTACTAACGTTTACATGTCACAGTGTCATTTGCATCTATCCCAATCTTTTTTCGTTCTCACAAAGTACTCTTGCTTCATCAATTCCGTCAGCTAAGTATCAAGGAAGTTTGGGACTGAAGCTAGTTTAAAGTGAACTTTGATTGAAAGATACTACAAAGAAAGCTGTACAATTAGTAGGATTTTTGGAAGGAGAAAACATGAAATACCATCTATGCCATTGCGGGATTCAAACTCTGGACCTCTCGAAGTTAGCTGAACGAATTACCACTTACACGCTGAAAGCATGTAGTAGGGAAAACACAAATTCTTTACATTCTCCTCCACTTAAAGAGCTACTGAGGAGGGAGGGGACTCTGTCTCCAAATCTAAGTGGGGACGAATTATAGTTCACTACATTTTAGTCGGCTTCACTGAAGGTATCATTAGAACTTTACGAAGCCAGAGAAGTGAAAAAACAACTATGCTCTCGCAAGCAGAAGGAAAGGCAGACGGAAATCCTTATAAAATATGTTACAAATCACATGGAACAGACAATATTATTTTGAAAAACGCAATCAGTATGAGAACATAGTCATTCATTTTAATCAAATAAGATATTTTTAACCTGCCCCTCAACAGCCAAATACATTTGGACATTTATTACTTGTTAATGCAACTTTTAAATAACGTAAAGAGGTTCAAATATATATCTTCCAACTACAATTCAGCTCCAAAAGTTTTCTTCTTGTAACTTCAAGCACAATGCCCTTTTCTTTTTAGCGGCTTCAGGTATAAAACACAATGACACACAACATTGTTATATTCTTCCAACTGTTCCTTAGTCTTCAAATAACTCATTTGTATCAGTTGATCATCTTCATTCAGATAACATTGTATCAGTTCTCTTTTAATATTCCGATTTCTTTTTTTAATATCTTTCCCGAACTTTGTATTGTCCTTCAACTCTGGTGTCATCTTTGTACAGTTTATCAGTCCTAGAGTTTGAGCTTCAACCGCTGCACGGTCACGAATTTAACAGTTGAGTGTAAAAGCACACACTTAGAAAATTATTTGATCTTACTCAACTAATTTTCTCAAGCTTAATTGAAAATTCCAAGTTTTTTCACCTTTATTGTTTTCAAACTGGCCTAACAGAAGCTCAAACAGTGTTCTCATATTCCAGCCACAAAAGACTA